TCTCGACCCAACTGATTTTATTTCCCAAGACGCAAATTCGACGAAAGATAGCGGTGATGGGCCCGAGTTGTGACGTTATTCGAGGTCACCCGAGCTCTTTGAAATTATCATTTCCCAATAATTTTTTATCACTAGGTCGCACGAGCGCTGATCTATCACCTCTTTCACTTGTGAGAAGAAACTTCCTCTTCTTCATTCAAATTTCAAATGTATTAAATGAATAAAAGAACAAAAAAAAAATTTAAGAAACATCACTGTTGGGACCCCGTGATCGTAAATGTGATGGGGAAATTCAAATGATGGATTTATTCATGATGAATTCAACGAGGAGTGATCAAACGAGTATTGCTCGTCACTGTGGAAATTCCACTAGTCGAGAGGTTGAACGCGGGACTCGTTGAGGTAGGTCATCCCCCGGTGGATCCTGATGCGTCGTTATCTTTATCTCAGCCGGAAGTATTCTATTCCCCGTGATTTTTCAAATCGCTCTCTTCGCGTCGAACATGAGAAATTTTCTTCCCGAAAACTGAGTTATTGGCAAACCTAAATAATTTTACGGCGACAATTTTTTTCGGGGAAAAACCATTCTTTCTTCGTCAATGTATTTTTTCTATGGTGCAAACCTATCGAGTTCTGAGATAAAAAATTGTCATACAATAGATCGCAGTTTTTTCTGCCAACAGTTCGAATTCTTCTAGGAATATGTCTCATGATCATAATTAAATTTTAATCAAATTTAATCTTGGTGAAAGATATTAAATTTCCTTCTATCAAGCTGGTTAATTTCCCTCAAGTAAATCGGTCCCGCTCCATCAAATATTCTCATGTGGTATAGTTTTTCGGCAGAGCTCATTTTTTTTTCAAAAGATGAGGGCAATTGGTTAATATAAAAAAAACGAGTTCTCAAATCAATTCAAGTGGTTTTTGAATTAAACTATTGATTGAATTAATTTAATTTTACTTGGTTTGAGAAATCCCTCTCTTGTCATCAAGAAATTGTCCTCGTCTCTAGGACAAGTAAAAAATTTATTGACGAAAGTTTTCTTCTCTTAGTGCAGGATATTTTGCTCTTGAAAATTTTCAAGCGAGAGTTGACATAAGTAAAAACGTACTTCTCAAAAAATTTTGCTTTTGTCAGTGCACTTGGGCAACGAAAAGGGTTTCAATAAAAACTTTCTCATCTCCTCTCAATCCCGAGATATTCCTAAGAACCTGATCTACCCCGAGACGAAATGGCTTTTTCTCACTTCATCACGTCATCAAATCTTTCCCATTTATCCCACATATTTCTCCAAAAGACAATAATGGGATATTCTCTATCTACTTGTCTCACTACTACGCAACATGCGCAAGAAATCAAAGTTAACCGTTAAAACGGCGGGAGAGACGAGTGCAGACGGAATGTCTGGGGCATAGACGGAGTAAGAATAATACATTTAATAACGTAAATAATTTCTAGAAGATGAATCCGCCCGAAGGAGGCGATAAATCAGACAAAATCTGAATGGAAAATATCCAGAAGTCACTCGACATATTTAAACGTATATTCAACGGCCATAAAATCTAAAAGCCATAATTATCGCATCGTCGAGTTATATTTTTGTTTTTTTTTTTGTTTTTTCATTCTCAACTGACGCGTATGCCTGCCTCTTCCATGTATTCCCTTCAAACCAGATTTAATACTATGGTTTGTACGTGTCATTACCGATGCCTGCAATCCTCAGATTCTGTACGGTTAACTGGGGAATTTAAACTCACATACTTTGCACAATGAACGCTGTGCGAATTGTGAATAACTCGAGATCGGCGCGGGGAATTTTCGCGATTTTTACTGCAGTTTCGAGGAATTTTTTCACGCTTCAAAATGGGGTCTCACTCGTTCGAATAGTGTCATCGGGACGGGAGGTATTGAAAATTTTATAGACGCTTATTTTTTTTGTCAATTACAACTGTTTTAAAGTAGCTCTAACCTTCGGCCGGGCTGCGCTGTACTTTCGGATATTTTCAGATTTTTTATTTTTCAACTAAATTGCATTGAAAAAATTTGAAAAAATTCATACCCAGTCAGTATTATCTAAATTAAATTTCGCAAAATACTGGTATTTTTTCAAACATTTCCCTTTTATAAATAAATAATAAAAATTATTTGCAAAACGGTGGATTATTTTTTATGAGGTGTCAAAAAAGTTCTTGATTTTTTCACATCCAATGACAACAAAATCAGATTTTAATCTTTGATTACAATGGAAATGTTGATTTCCACATAAGACACTGGGTTAAATCCTGATTTTTAAACATTTCTTCTTTGAAAAACCAAAACGATAATTAAATTGAGAAAAAAATTAGAATTCCGAATTTAATCGAGTTTTCTGCAATTTTTTTGCAGTTTATAATGATCTCTGAATTTACTGTAAGGGCAGAGCTACTTTAACCTCTTGAATCAACTTTGATCATTAATTTCTCAGGATGGACTGCATGAAATTCAGTAGCGAAGTGGTAAAGCGGTTTAAGTTGACTTATCTCCCAGTTGAGTTTTTGAGGAATATTTCCGAATCTAAGGGAGATAGCGAAATTTTCGTAATCACATTTGTTATAGCTCTCAATCGGCTCTATAAAAAAGGTTTTAACAAAAATTTTGCTATCTCCCTTAGATTCCAAGATACTCATTGAAAACTGTTCAATAGTCAAAATTGACTTGTACCGTTTTACAATTTCGCTACTGAATTTCACTTTTTTTAAAAGTGTTAAGGTATTTTTTGTAAGTTTATTTTGCACACTATGGGGGTAGGAGATATGGGAAATTTCACCTAGAAGCTCAATTGTTTGAATTAAAATTTTTCCAATTTCTTGAATGAAGTTTGATCACGATGTTAGGATTTATGTTAGGATTTTCAGAGTGAAATTTGAAGATTTTTTTTTCATTTTCGAGTTTTCAAATGAGAGTTGAATCGTCCAAATTGCACGGTTGCGTTAGAAGATACAGAAAATTTTACTCAGAAGCATATTTTTGAGAATAACAATTTTTTTAATGACGAATCAACTTTAATCGTTAAGATCTTGGATCGTCAAGATCTTAAGGATTGGTGGATGGAAATTTCACGATTTTCTTCATTTGCAAGCTAATTAAGTTTTAAAATTAGATCTGACTTGAATAGCGTCACTGGGTCAGAAGATATTGGAAATTTGATACAGAAACTTAATGTTTTTAATTATGATTGTTTCAGAATTGGCGATATGAAAATAATTCACTTTTTTTTTATTGCCAAGCCACTTTTTCAAGTTTTCAAATGAGATCTAATTCATTCAAATCACACTATTGGGGTAGGAGATATGGGAAATTTCACCCAGAAACTTAATTTGTTGAATTACAATTTTGCTAATTTCTTGAATGAAATTTAATCATTAATATTTCAGGATTGGCAGAGTGAAATTTCAAGATTGTCATTTCATTTTTAAGGCACATAGAAAGTACCTTAAAATTAAATGAAAATTTCTACATAGAAATTTCATTTTTCTCTATTTTAACTATTTTAATTTTATTCTGAATCAACTTTGAACATCAATATCTCAGGATTGGCAGAGTGAAATTTCACAATTTTTTTTTATTTTAAGGTCAATTTTCCCAGCTTTAAAATGACCTCTGACTCGTTTAAATCACACCATCGTGCTGCCAAACATTGAAAAATTACCTAGAAGCTCAATTTCCTCTATTTTAACTGTTTTATTTCTATTCTAAACCAACTTTGAATATCAATATCTCAGAATTGGCAGAGTGAAATTTCACGATTTTTTTTTCATTTCCAGGACACATTTCCAAGCTTTAAAATGACATCTGACTCGTCTTAATCGCACCATCGTGCTACTGAACATTGACAAATTACCCAGAAGCTCAATTTTCAGAATACCAATTTCTCAATTAACTTTGATCTCCAATATCCCAAAATTGTCAGAGTGAAATACCGCGATTTTTATTTCATTTTCAAGGCCCCTCTCTGAGCTTTAAAATTCGCCCTGGCTCACCCAAACCAGATCACCCAGTGACACCAAAAGACATTGAAACATGTTCCGAAGATTCAATAAAGCAATTAAAGAAAACGAAGAAAACAAAAATTCCCAAATTCTCAGAGATAAAATCCCAAAAAATCACTCCCCATTATCATTCCTCCATCATTCATCCCTTGACCTCCCCAACATGAACCCAAACAAACCCAAACACTGCCAGCATCTCCCCTGCCCCAACATCCCCCTCGATCACACGTCAGAACCCATCCCCCAACACTCATGATCATCTCTAATCGAAGTTTGGCAAGTGTTCCTCGGTTGCGCGCGGCCGTCATCTGCGCATGTACCCCACCATATACCTCATCACCCCCATTCCCCAACAAAGAGATTCTGCATGAAACCCATCCAAATGTTATTCCTCGAAAATTCCCCCCGCAATCGATAAATAACTAGCACTCAACAAAACCCAGTAAAACCCAGAGCCAAAAATGATCATGTGTTGCGTGGATATCGATGATATCCTTGATGAAGCAATGACATCGAAGTCATGTGTCCTCACCCCCGGATAACTTCCCCGATATCAAAGGCCCGATGTTAACGACCCCACGATGACATGATGACACTATCTGTCTGACGAAACGAGTGAAACAAAACCAATCCTCTCCAATCGTGAATATCACCCGAGCGAACGAACCGATTGGGTCGAGTCACGTCTCACTTTTTAGATTAAAGAAAGCTCTTCAAAATGAAAAAAAAATCCCCGAAATTCACTCAGCGGATCCGAAGATATCGAGGATCGAACTTAATTCGCGAAATTAGGGAGAAAATTTCACTCCGTAAAGTTGACCTGCTAAAACTCGAAATATCTGGCTAACCAACGATGCGATTTCGACGAGTCAAGGCTCATTTCAAACCTCAAAAAAATACCTCCAGATTGAAGGAAAAATCGCGGAAATTCACTCAGCCGTTCTTGAGTTATTGGCGATTGAATTTGTTACCTTGGTATTGTAATGCACTTGGTGTTGCAGCTCTGTGTAGTGATGGCCTTCTCCAATTCCTCGAGGCCGGTTGACTTCTTCAGCTTTTTGACAAGGCTCTTGACCGCTTTTTCACTCCATTTGTCCTCGCCCTCGGCCTTCTTCCAGCCCAGCAGCCGCTTAACTATTGGCGGATTAAAGCTGGGCAGCATCGAAGTCATCATTTGGAATCGTTGAAACGTGCATCGGGCCGCCCTTATTACTAATGACACCACTAACTTGCCAATTTCGTTGTTGTTTACAATGTTGAGTATGTTTCACCACTGTTCACACGACTATTATCACAAATTGTCCCGAATACAGCTGTCCATCGATTGTTTGGGTATTTATTTTAGTTAGATACAGGGGGACGAGGGTAAATATAAATACAACGGAGATCACTTCACTCTGTCGGCGAAAACTTTGCCAAAGCCGCCATTTTACCCCGAGGCTGAGACCTCGGACTATCTCGGAAGCGTTCGGGGGACCTCGGAACAGCCGCGACAACCGTTGGCTACGGGTTCTATAGCTTTTTTTGGAGGGGCTCTCAAAAACTTCTTTCATGGGGTTTTGTCAGGTCGGGGCTTTATTCCAACTCCCCCTAGTTTCTCGGGCGTTTTGTTTCCGAGGGGGAGGTCTTAGATACTTGGGAGCGGGTTCCGAAATTGTTTTCGGTGGTCATGAAAAGGGGAGAAGGATTTTTTATGGGTGGTATTGATTGATGAGAAATAATTAGTTTTTTCGGGAAAAATTGGGTGAGTGCGGAAAATTTGGGTCCGTGTGTAAATCGAAAAACTTAGGGTCATATGTAAATCGAAAATCTTATGTCCATATGTAAATACTTGGCTGAAGACCCTCGGGCGATGGCTTAATGTAAGAAAGTTATTTTTGGGTATTTTTCTTGCAATAAATTTCGTTAAAAATCTGTTTTAAAAAAATTTAATTTAAAATTTTTTCGTTGAAATTCTTTTTAGAAAAATTAATTGAATGAATGGGGGAAGATAAAGACAGATGAGTTATCATTTTTGCCCATTTCGTCATTCCAATTTCAAATGAGTTAAATTTCTTACAGTCAGGGATGCGTTATAAAAATGGAAAAAGTGGAATAATAAAGATGAATGATGAGTGGAAAGTTAATGGATAATTTTGAATATTTGATCGATTCTTTTTCAGTTTTCAGGGTGAGCCAATCAATACCCATAATTTTTGAAAGATGAGGGAAATGTTATGAATCAATTTTGAAGAAAAGTCGACAATTTTCTTGAATTATTAAGAAAATAAGAGAAGAAAAAGAAAAAAAATAGACATTTTCTTGCAATTTTCTGAGAAACTAGGGTTTTTTTTTGGTTTTGTAGAATTTGGACGCTGTATGCGCGTCAGAAAAATGAAGAGAATGCAATTTATGCAATCCGCGAAAAAAGAAAAATAGAAAAAAATTAAATTGATGATATTCATGAAATTTCATGATGAATAAAAACCCAAGGAAGAACTCATCAATGTTGCGAATAATAAATACTATGAGAAAATTGACAATTATGACGCAAAGAATACACAGAGAAATTTTCTAGAAAAATTCTAGTACGAATACTGGGAAAAATTACAATTCACCGGATGTGAAAAATTCTAGTACTGTTAAGGTAAAATTTCTTGGTATTTCTGGTAAAATTTCTGGGGATTGCTGTGAAATTTTCACAGAAATACAGGAAAAAATTCACGTTTTCCCCAATAAAATTTCTAGTGCCAGCACTGGAATTTTTTCCTGGCTGTCACTTTGCGCCTCTTTTCCCGTGCTAACACTAGAATTTTTCTAAAAGTTTAAAGAAATTGAAAATACCGACTGTTTTTCAGCGACTAACTTCACGTGACTCATTCACCAATCCGAATTGAAATTAGCGGTTAGGCAGTTTCGTTCGATTTCTGCTTTTTGTTGTAGAGATCATGAGAAGGATAATGAGCGAATAATCTACTGACTGACAAAAATTGTGATTGTGACTTTAGTATTTGCTTAATATGCCATTGTCTTTGTTATGTAAACTTCGAGGGCTCAGGTGGCATGGAAGTTATGATCATTTGATAATATGTATTTTTGACACAATGAAAACAAACGTCGATATCTTCAATGTTTGCTTAATATGGCATTGTGTCTTTGTTATGTAAACTTACTCAATTGGCCCAGCTGGCGCAGAAGTTACGATGATATGATAATCTGTATTTTTGAGACAATAAAAACAAGCGTTGATATAAAACAACTTCACGAAACTCTCATCTTTCATAGATAGCAGCAATATTTATTTGAATCTGAATTCTTTGAAGGAATTTTTTCAATCAAACTCCTTTTCTTGAGAATATCGGGCTATTACCCAATTTTTTAAATCCTTTATTTGATGATTAATGTCAAATTACGTCGAAGTGCGAAGTGCAACATCGGAAATTGTTTAAATAAATTTTTTCTATAGAAACATTTTTCCATAGTTTTTGCACAGATTTTTTTTATTTTTTTTATATAAAAGAACAAACAAAAAGGACTCCTCGTCCCATTTGGGGGAGGGGGGAGGGTACATTGTTTGAAAAAAAAATTAAATTTCATGGACAGTTGACTACTAATTTTCAGGATAGTGACACTGAATGCAATTTAGGAGAAAAAAACATTAAATTTCAGGTTTCACTGAAAATTCAGTAAATTCAGTAATTCAGTAATTTAATTAATTCAGTATTTATATGAATTTGGAATTTGAAATTTGGAATTTATGATTTTTTCCCCCTAAATCGCATTCAGTGTAACTGTCCGGAGTTTTCTGGTTTTCCATTCATTTTTAGGGAAAAATAGAACTAAAATTTACAGTTCTCTTTGATTCCCCCACGAAATTTTGAATTTTCAATGACGAAATTCCTTGAAATTTCCGCGGTAATTGAATTCAATAACAATTTCCAGAAAGTGTAACGCAAATTTCAGACTACAATTTTCAACAGTGTATAATTAAAATAGCAGTTGGGAAATCTTGATGTTTGATATATTTTTTCTCTACACTGTTAGAGAATTACTCTTGAAATTTGAAGGAAAAAATCTTGAAATTTTTAACAAGAAATAATTTACATGGAATTTTCATTGATCTTGTTATTGATAAATTAGTCAATGTTCTTAAATATGCGATGGATTTTGATTTCTAAGGTTCATGCGACAATGAAAATGACAGAAAAACGTGAAAATTCAGGCAACTTTTCCTCTGAATTTTCAATCTGTTACTTAATTATCGCGATAGGTTTGAAAATCCAAATTGTCATTGAAAATCCAATTATCATTCATAACGAAAAACTTAATTTCATTGAATTTCCAAGATCATGATTTCTCAGGAATTCCATGCGAAATTTAATCTGAAATTGAATTCAAGTTCAGAATATTGAAAATTCAAATCAGTAGCGAAGTGGTAAAACGGTTCAAGTCGATTTTGACTAGTGGCCGTTTTTCAGTGAATATCTCGGAATCTAAGGGAGATAGCTAAATTTTTGTCAGGCCCTTTTTTGTAGCACTCAAATTGCTCTAGAAAAAAGGTTACTACGAAAATTTCGTTATCTCCTTTAGATTCGGAGATATATTCTTCAAAAACTCCACTGAGAGATAAATTGACTTAAACCGTTCTACCACTTCACTACTGAAATCCATCTGTTACTTAAATTTCAAAAAATTTCTAACAGCGTAACCCTGTAACTAATTGCTGTTCTCCTATACATAATCATCATTGCGTTATTATTGCAATTTTCAAGGCCACACATGTCTGAATAAATTAAATTAGATTATAAAATGAACAAAAAGATAAAATTCTGGATTTTCTCCGTGAAAAAGGTGGAGATATCCCTATTTGCAGATAATTATTAATTTCTCAGTGAACCCGCGGTTCAGGGGCGTTTGAATTGCCCGCAACGCCTCCCGAGCCTGCGCACGTGTCCGCGGAATTTCTCAGAACTAAATCCCGTGGGTGAAGGAATTTTCAGCGAGACTCAGTTGACACTGTGACATGTGTCTTCGATGTGCTCCTGGAGAACCGCCTCGATTATCAATCCCGTTATTTGAATTGTCAAGGGAGAAGGGATTCATGATTATCATCTCGTCATGACGGAGTCGCGGGGGAAATTGTGCTACGAGAACAAAGTTATTTTGGCGCCTATGGTGCGCATTGGAACGCTCCCCATGCGGCTACTCGCCCTCGACTACGGCGCCGATATTGTGTATACGGAGGAGCTGGTAGATTTCAAAATGCTGAGGTCGATACGGCGGGAAAATGGTGAGTCCACTCACTGATTTGGCAGGTATTGCCTCTCTTGATCACAGTTGTGGGTAGTTACGGCACATTTCATTACAAAAACTCATTACCAGAAAAATTCATCACAGGGCTTTTGATTGTATGGACAATTCATCACGGAATTATCGATTATTGCATTCAATCTTGAAATTTGTGAAGTTTTTGTGAGTTATGGAATGACATTTTCTGATGCAATGAATTGATATTATGGAGAATAAATCACGACTAGATCTGGGCGCGCGCTCATCTTTTTGTTGTGAAAATGAAGAAATCGAATTTATTAAACTTCATATACTCATAGATGTTTTATAAATATTGATAATGACTTGAAGAGAATTGAGAGAATGAAAAGAATGAAGAGTGAAACATCAATGAATAATTTTTAGTTTTCGATTAATTCTTTTTTTACTTTTTAAAATAATCTGATTAAAATCTGTAATTGTTGAAAAATGAGGGGAGGGTTATGAATTAATTTCCCAGGAAACTGAAAAAATTTCTTGAATTCTTCGGAAAATTCCAGTTTTCCAGATAACCGTAGGTCTTCAAAGATTTTTCTCGAATTATTTGGGAGACCGAAGAGTTTTCATCAAGTTTGTAGAGTTTAGAATTTATGTATGAAAATCTGAGAAGCAAGAATTGGTCATTTGTGCGTATGATAAATATGAAAAAATTAAAATTTGGAATGTGAAGAATAATTTGTGTGTTAAAAAAATTTAGAAATACTATGTTTTTTTCTCATGATCAACAATTAGGCAATTTAGATATGTTTTGATATAACGATAAACTTCACACATGAAAAAATGAAAAATATGACAGAAAAAAATTTTGCCATTTGAAGAATTTGAAAATACCGGGGATTTTTTTCAGCGACTACGTCATCGTTTTCCGCAAATATTTCCAAAACTAGTGAACCGATTTAGATTTTCTGTTTTCAAAAGATTCGTTGCGATGCCTTCTATCCAAATCAATTAAAACATATACCCGTTCCTACAAAGTTTTCGAGATATCTCCGTTTTTCCGTTTTTTCGTAGAAAAACTTTGTAAACACTCTAGCTTGTGCAAAAATGGAGATATCAACTTGAAATTTGGACAGAATCTTTCTCACATGATAACAATATTTCCTATTGATGATGGGTTCAATCGCATCAGTAGGTTCGGAGATACTCGACTTTTTCTGAAAATCTTTTACATGGAATATCTTTTATTTTTTTTCAATTTCTAACAAAACAAACGTCCATCTGCCGGTTAGTTTACAGTGATGCCGTCGAGACTAGTCGAGAATTATTTTGAAGAGATCGTCACGGTCTGAAAAAACATCGAAAGTTTTGAAATCGTCGCAATCTCGAAAGACATTGGATCGGTGCATCTCGTCACAATTTTTAACTTCACGAGACGAGACAGATATCGAGACAAACATTTGAAAAACAGAAAATACTGAAACTCAGAGGTGATGGATTCTTCCAAGTTCATGACGAGATGCACCGATCTAATGTCTTTTGAGATTGCGACGATTTCTAAACTTTCGATGTTTTTTTAGACCGTGATGATCTTTCCAAAATAATTCTCGTCTAGTCTCGACGGTATCACTAGGAGTTTACTCCATTTTGCATTGGTTCCAAACATTTCCCCAACATTTCCCAGATGTTCTCGGAACAATCGACTACGTCGACCGCACGGACGGTACGATAATCTTCCGGACAACCCCCCGGGAGTCCTCCCGGGTGGTCTTTCAACTAGGCACCAGTGACCCCACCCGCGCCCTGAGGGTCGCCAAACTGGTTGAGCAAGACGTTGCCGCCATCGACATCAACATGGGCTGTCCGAAGAGCTTCTCCCTGATGGGAGGAATGGGCGCAGCCCTCCTCACCCAAGTGGACAAAGCCAAGGCGATCCTGGAGACCCTTGTTAAAGGCGTCACCATCCCGGTCAGCTGCAAGATCAGAGTCTTCGAGGACCTCGAGAAGACCCTAGATCTGTGCAATGCACTGGTCTCCACGGGGATCTCCGCAATTGCTGTGCATGGACGCACGGTCAAGGAGAGGCCCCAGCACTCGAATCGGAACGAGATGATTCGAGCTATTTCCGAACACCTCTCCATCCCAGGTATGATGGATTTTTCTACTTCTGTATTAGCCCCAGGGCCATTTTACTTGGTCAGACCTTAGATGTTTTCAAGGTATAAATTACATGAAAAGCAGAATGCTCTATGCTATCTTTTGCCTTCCGAACGTCTATATGAGGGAAACAATCAAAGGTTTCCGGATTTTTTCCCCCCGAAAAAATCCCCCGGAAACAAATTCCCGGAATTATTTCCCCCTTAAGAAGGTAAAAAACAATTCCACAAACACACATTACCAACGTCAATTTTATTTATTACCACGCACGAAAAGTTTAATAGAAAAACCTATCGAATTCGTTAGAAAATTCTATAGAATATCTATTAAACTTTCTATTAGTTTTTGGCTGATTCTATTGACATGTTCAATAGAAAACATTCAGTAGAAAAAGTCAACAGAATTCGATTTTTCTATGTAACTTATTGTTTTCATAAATTTTCTATAGAATTTGCTCGGCTCAAATTTTCCAAGTTTTCTTCATTCTATTTTTTTTTCTTCTCATCAAGAAAATCAAACGAAAAAACTCAGAAAATTTGAGCCGAGAAAATTTTATAGAAAATATCTAAATAGAATAAGTTGTATAAAAAAATTGAATTCTATTGACCATTTCTACTGAATATTTTCTATTGAACATTTCAATAGAATTGGCCAAAAAATGATAGAACAGTATACAATAGAAATTCAATAGAATTGTAGGTTTTTTCGGTGATTTCCATAAGATCACGGGTTAAATGACTACTTGTTCAAAGATTCATAATAAATTAACCACGCTCCCCAGCATTCTGAAACTTTGCACACGCCTTTTCCATCACTTAAAGAATACGTAAAAAAAAAGAAAAAAATGGCTGCTTTTTTTCCAACCCTCCCAGCTCGCCCGATTATCCTTAATTAACATTTTCGTCAGTTTTCAATCTCAATTTTTCTGTTTTCACTTAAAAACGCTTTGTACCTCCTCTTCTCCCCCCAGTAATTGCGAATGGCGGTTCGAAGGAGATTGAAAAGCACTCGGACATCGCAAAGTTTAAGAAAGAGACCGGCTGCAGTAGCGTGATGATAGCGAGAAGCGCCGAGTGGAACTGCTCAATCTTCAGGAAGGAGGGACTCCTCCCCATAGAGGACGTCATCAAGTCCTACCTGAAGTACGCCATTGACTTCGACAATTCCCCCTCCAACACGAAATACTGTGTTCAGAATATCCTGAGGGACCTTCAGGAGAGCCCCATGGGCAAGCAGTTCCTCGCGGCCCAGTCGCTCGAGCAGATTTGCACTGTCTTCGACATGGACGCCTACTGCAGGGAAAAATCAAGAGAGTTTCAGGGCAAGGGGCTTCAGGGGCGATTTCAGGTCGAGCCCCTGAGAGATGGCGATAACACTGATAACAGTCTTAAGCGTAAGCGCGAGGAGGGGGACGACGATGTGACGCTTAAGCGTTGCGCATTTCTGAGGAACGGTTACACCAGTGATGCTGAATTACCCAAGACGAGGCTGTTAAAGTGGCTTAGGGACAATAAAAAGAAGGATCTGCCTGTTTATGATACGTGGAGCGAGGATAAGCTGTTCAGATCGATTGTCACTGTTGATGGGCAGAAATATAGCTCTACTTTTTGGTGAGGAAACAAGCGCTGTTAGAAATTTTTAGAAATTTTGTGCAAGATATGATAGGAGTTCTCATGAGAGTGACATTGAATTGCATTTAGGGGAAAAATGGTTATGCAATTTCAAGTTTTAGATAGAATTTAAGGAAATTCATGAGTTTTCAGTGGGAGTGGGACGGAAATTTCACGACTTGATTGAATTGTCAATGGAGCATGAATATTCAGAAACAAAATGAGATAAAGTTTCAATGTTTTGCGGAATTTTTCTTAATTTTTCCCAATTTTTCCAAAATAACTGAACTGAAAAATCAAGTGTTTTATTGATTTTTAGATCATTCGAACCGAACATCATGAGTTTTCAGTAGAACATGAATATTCACAAACAAAATCACATGAAACTTCAATGTTTTGCTGTATTTTCACAATTATTCTGAATTTTTATAGAATAATTGAACTGAAAAATCAAGTATTTTATTGATTTCTAGATCATTTGAACCGAACATCATGAGTTTTCAGCGGAACTGATATAGAAATTTCACAGCGTGATTGAATTTTCAATGAAACATTAATATTTAGAAACAAAATGACATGAAATTTCAATGTTTTGCTGAATTTTTCTTGATTTTTCCCAATTTTTACAGAATAATTGAACTGAAAAATCAAGTATTTTATTGATTTTTAGATCATTCGAACAGAACATCAATTAAATATTCAATTTTTCAATGACTAGATTTCCTGGAATTTCAGTGGAATTTAAACAAGATAAAAATTTCCGGGATTTAGCACTTGAAGAATTCCTGGAAATTCAAGAATTATTAATGAAAAATCAGGCAAATTCAGAAAAATCTCTCCTTGAATTCTAGATTCCTCTGAATCTTCACGAAACTCCTTCAAAAATTCCTGAAATTCCACGAATTTTAAACGAATTCCCTGAAAACTCAAGGGAATTTGGCAGTGAATATTCATTTTCACCTGAAAATTCATGTAGATTGCGGAATTTCCGTAATTCCTGCGGCTAAAAACTGGAACTTTACTTAAATTTCCATAGAAACCTGAAGTTCCATTGACTCTTTCCCCTTAAATTGAATTCAATCTATTTTGCGGAAAATTCAGTTAAATTTTTTCAACAGTGCAGATGCATTATCATATTTTTCATTCAGACATGTACGAACTTTCGGTTTCTTACCTATGGTTTAGCTTCAACCCCACGCATTTGTTTCCTTTTCCACAGGGAGAAGAACAAGAAGTGGGCCGAGCAAGGAGCCGCTCTAGTCTTCCTCCTGTCCATCGGCCTCATCGACGAGGGAAGTCTCATCGAGAAAGGCCACTTGATGAGATGATGCTGGCGATTCACAGCTGTTACACTCTTGTACATATTGACGTTGAGATTGTCTCTCTGATCTCTGCAATTATCAAAATAAAGCTATTGCCGTTAACACAGATTCATTACACCGTAATCAGTCAGTAGTTCGTAGGAATATATTTACTATTATCTTGGGGAGCTGTGGTCATCGGTCGATTGGCTAAAGTGAATCACCATGTAATCCTCATTGTTCCATCTCTGATCTGATGGGGATAACTGGACGATCAGTCGTCTCAATAGAATTTCTCAAAATCTTATCGATGCCGCTATCGTTGGTGATAGTGATCATGTGGTCACGGAAGGTATCAATGCTGTTACCACTATCAGTTTGATTTGGGACAGCGAAACGAGTGAATGGTTTCATTTTATCACCATCGAAATTTTAGTAAGGATAGCCAAGTACTTTGTTCAAGTTAGCATTTTTTTTCAAACAAGATTTCAGTTTTGGCGAAAATATTGCCAGCCCCATATTTTATTGACCTTTTCATCGTTAAATACATTTTTTTCGGGAATTTTTGCAATGGATATTGTGAAAAATATTTTATTGAATTTGACACTTGACTCTCGTTGTGTAATCTCTAATGATCATCCGGCAACACTGCACATGATTTCCATATAACCTCGTACATTCGGTCCGATGAGTGACTTGAGCGAACTGTTGCCAGACGTTAGGAAGGCGCGGATTCAAACCACTCAATATGGCCATCGGTGTTTTCATGGTGTTACTTAATGTCGCAAAAAAAATTAGAGAGTTTAACGAATAAAGTCATATACAGTTATGTGTACGAGAAAACGTTGCAAGATTATGAAAGAATGGATTGGAGGAGTTAAATTTCATTTTTTCAAAAATCCTTTGCTCGAAGAAATGTTCGGAAAGTGAAATTGATATTACGCCTAAAAATACTCTTGGTCTGTTTTATAAATTCTTAAGGATATCCAAGTACTTTATTCAAATTAGCAACTTTTTTTCGAACAAGATTTCAGTTTTCCCGAAAATATTGCCAGCCCCATATTTTATTGACCTTTTCATCGTTAAATACATTTTTTTCGGGAATTTTTGCAATGGATATTGTGAAAAATATTTTATTCAATTCCACACTTGACTCTCGTTGTGTAACCTCTAATGATCATCCGGCAACACTGCACATGATTTCCATATAACCGCGTACATTCGGTCCGATGAGTGATTTGAGCGAACTGTTGCCAGACGTTAGGAAGGCGCGGATTCAAACCACTCAATATGGCCGTCGTAGGAATCACACAACTTTTAATTTGATTGTTTCCAATTATCTGCCCGGATACTGACGTTTTTTAATGTTGCAAAAAAAACTATAGAGTATAACGAATAAAGTTATATACGGTTATGTGTACGAGAAAACGCTTCAAGACTATGAACTATCCGATTGATGGTGGGAGTATACAGCTCTTATGAGCGCGATGTGTTAAACTTCAAGCTTTCAAAAATCCTTTTCTCGAAAAAATATTCGGAAACTGAGGTTGATATTACGCCTAAAAAATGCTCGTCGTCTATTCTATCAACTCTGAAGAGAATTTCACCCCGAAAAAATTGCCCGAACTACATGGATATCCTTAAACCTCTTTTTTCATTAGAAAATGGCGGCTGGAAGCCGTAATGGTGGCCGACGGCTGAGTTATATGGGGTCTCTGGATGATTACGACAACTCGAGCGAAGATGAGAAGAAGAAGAAGAACACTTCTAAGTAATATGTAGTTGAATTGTTACCCATCATTTCATGAGTGGAAATGTGATGTTGACCGGTGAATTTTTGCAGACCGCAGGAGGAAGGGTGGGGCTGGGATCTCTTCAGACACTATCCTCCGAAAACGAAAACTGGATCTAATGCTGATATGAGTTTCTACCAGAATGCTATTAAGGCACTCAAAGTGGTGACATACTTGATTTTATTTACACTTGTCCTTGGTGGCGGAGTGTTTGCCAAATCAAGTATCTTACTCGCAACTGCTCAAATTGAGGAGGGAACACCAGTCAAGTACTGCGATTATAAGAGCCGTAATTCTTAATTATTGGATATTTACTGCTTACGGCCGTGGGTGAAGCGATCGAGAGAAGGGTGATTCGTGTATTACGCAAGTAATTTTTTTTGGGAATTCGGTTTCGAGGTCGCGCTATGAGCGCATCGCCGCACTTTTCCCGATTTTTTTAATTACACCGCAGTAAAGCCTCAGAAAATTTTGAAAAAATTTGACATCTCATTTTGAACTGCCTAGAAGCCTTATTAATGAAAATATCCGTCAAAAATATCATAAGTAGTTGGATTTTCAAATTTTTATTCCGAACCTCTGGGCCGTGTACCGTGTATGAGGTAAATTTTCAGAAAAACATGGCAACTTTGAGCTTGAACGTATAATTAAGGGTAACACTGAACATAAAAAATCTCACAGAATTTCTTCAAGTGTACGATCTATTATAGATGACTTTTAATTTTTTTCGAATTTTTCCTAGATCTTTCAAATTTTTCATTATCCTATTCTAAAAATGTTGATCTATGATGGTGTGGTGTGGCGCGACCAACGGAATGCTAATGAATTAAATTGAATGGTTTTACCCCTCAGGCACACCGCGACATAAGAACCCCGAAGTTTATTCGCTCTTAACTTTCAAATTTATTGGTAAAACGTTTTGGGATAAAATGGTAACGACGACTGTACTCATTGTATATGACAAAATATTTTGATTTTTTCTCTCCACGGTTTTTAAATAATCATCGTTTATAGGTGCCAAAGCATTCTTTGTTGATGTGTTTGGAAATCAAGACACTTGCAACGCGCTGGTAATGCATTTGTGTCTGGCGAATAAATTTTGAAAAAATCCGCCGCAATATTTAAAACCAGATATCGGCAGAATCATAAATCTTTTATGAAGTTAAATTTGGAAGAAGTCAATAGCTAATAATACTCATCAGTTTTAAATTATTAAATTAGTCGTCAATTGAATATCCAAATTCTGAATTATTTTATAGATCAATAATTGAGTTCGGAAAATTGACGATTATTTGGCTAGTCACAAATTCCTTTCAAGAAATCTAAAAATATTTGCCCAACAGTCAATTTACAATCCCATATTTTCCATTATTCAATTTACAATTCCGTATTTTAATTGTTTAATTCGTAGTCAATTGAAAATGAAAAATAATCAATTATTTAATCATTTTCAAATTTTTCACTTAATTATTACTAAAACTAATAATTGATAAACTAATAAACTAATTAGTTTGAAGAATCGGAATGCTACAGTTTTGATAAGAAGACGATCCCCAATAAGATAAACCTAAGATCGCCTTGATAGGTTGGTTCCAAGTAAAAATAGCATTCTATCAGTTTTTATTCATCTTCATCAGTGTAATTAAGCCCTCAAAAGTAGGGAGCCTCGAATCGAGTTAACATTTTTCCAAAGACGACATTTTGAAACTAAGCTATCTATCTTTATGATTTTTTTTTACAGAATCGAAATAACTTCATAATTACGGAAGATGATGAAATTTTTCTGCCGCGGGGTGAGGGTATCTTGAGTACTTAAGATGTCCTTGAGTACTTCCTGATGTCATAAAATTATATATTTGGCTCCACCACTTCCCCCCCCCCCNCGAATTTTTCCAGGACAGTCATTTTCAGAGAGTCCAAGTCTATCCTCAAAAATTACAGTGATGTTGAACAATCTGATTATTATGCTACATATGACCTTGACAAAATGTTCTCCGATATCTTCCGGATTTTACAAATTGGCGATTTTCTCAGGTAAAGAAAATTGGAATAATTCCAAATGTTAATAATTATTATTGGAGTTTCTTCGAGGTCATATGCAGAAGAATATTCTTATAGATCACCATAATTCTCACGCTTGGAACTGATTTCGGAGCACCTGGAAATGACTGGCCTGGAGAACTGCGTTCCAAAAGAGATATTTTCTTCTACTAAGAATATGAAAAAGATATCACCAATAACATTTTCTTGGAAGGAATAAATTTTTTTCTCAGTGTATGCTTATTTAATATTTAGATAGCCCGAAATGAGTCAATCTCAGGATTAATTTCTGATGAATATCTCTGCATTCAAAGAAAAATATCCTCTTTCTCTTGGATTTCAAGATATCTTCCAAAAAATGATCTTCGCGGAAAACCGAATCACCGCTTTTATCGCGATCTCATTCGCTTGAGTTTAAAATGAAATAACAATCTCGTGAATGACGTTGAAGTTATAGCTAAGGGATCTCTGTCCCCGAATAAAACGGCTACTATAAGTGAAGATGGTAGGATTTACTGGTACTGGTGTGTGATCCTGGCATTTTTCGTCCCGGAAGTCATGACCCTCCTGAGAACAGTCTATCAACTTCTATTCAAGAAGAAAAAAATTCCGTTCTTCCTTGACATCTTGTTCGCCGCCGTCGTGGAGAGTTTTCATGCTGCAGCAATGGCGCTGCTCTTTCTGCTTGTCATACCGGAGATGGATTCGTTGTTGGCAGCAGCTGTCACCAGCTGCACTTGCTTCATTCCTGCTGTTCTCGGTAACAGGAGATCTCATTCGTCATGTCGTCAAAAGTAAGCAATGAATCACAAAGAATTTATGTCACTCAGGGCTCCTATCGAGGACGAAAATTGAGGACAGCTCAAGTCGGTATCACATTCTGATGATGGTTGGAGACATAATCGCTGTCATCGCCCAACTAAGCGGAATCATCCTCCTTCCCATCGTTGATCGCATCGGCGAAACGGCAAGCTGGTGGTTACCCGCAGTTTTAATCTTCGCTTCGTGCAGATGGTGGCTCAACTACGTATCCCCGAGAAGTACATTGGGTACGTCAACAGACAAAACCATCTGACCCTTCAGCATTCAATCCTGATACGATTTAATCCAATTTCAGGCCTGATCAGATTCCTCTCGAACATGAAGGATCGTCTTGAATTATCCCGAGGTATCGTCCAAGGGATGACAGCACTTTGCAGGATAACAGTCTTCTTTGGAACCTCCTTAATCATCATTCACATCAAAGGGATCGAAGTGGAAAAGTTCTTTGGTGGCTTTCCTGGGAAAGCAACCTACCTCGTCAATGTAAGCAATGTGCGTTCCGCAGAGACAGAAAGCTCAGAAAGCTCTGGACAAGAAGAAATTTTTCCCGTTAGCTCTTCCATACCTCTATTTGTATTTCTTGTCCACGTGGTTGCATCCTTCAGCGCGCATTTCGCAGGTACGAATGGCTGAACAAATGTCAATCAAATTGACTGATATCGACTGATTAATTGATTGGCTAATATTCAAATCCTTCATTCAACCATTGATGATATTACTAATGGATTCTTTGGTCATATTATGATTACACATATGTACACATATTATGAAGGAGGGATGCTATACGCTATCCTTTCACCCTTTCACTCTTGAGTTTATTTCCATAATACAACAGATTTTCCGTTTTTCCAGGGGGAAACTCGACTTTAACCAAAATCGAATTTTTTAAGGGTCACGAGGGTCAAAGTGTCAGATCTTGGATTTTTCCAAGGGGAAAGTCGACTTTTGTCAAAATCGAATTTTTTAGCCGGGTGAACGTTGATTCCAACTATTTGAGCAACGGGCTATTCAGAACTCTCAAAAGTATGTGGAAAAAGTGAAAACTGAAAAAGTTTTTTTTTTCAGATTTTCAAAGAGTCAGATTTTCCGTTTTTGCGGGGGGAAAGTCGACTTTCGCCAATATCGAATTTTTTAGCCGGGTGAACGTTGATTCCAACTATTTAAACGACGGGCAATTCAGAACGCTCAAAAGTATCCTATCGTAAAAAGGAGTAAAGAAATCGATCCCGAAATATTCCGAAAATCACTACACCACAGGCTGGGTTCGAATCTCAACCTCGTCAATTCCGATATTTATAAGGATAAAAGCTGAGACTTAGCGTGGCAAGGGGTGAAACCGATAAGTCCAGTGGCATGGTATAGACCTACCTATCTAGATGATGTGATAGATGTTGCATTATGGAAATAAACTCGTCTTTACAGGATTCGGTTAGCGTCATTGGTTATTTCATATAGCAACATTGAAGGTGAAAGGATAGTATATAGCATCTCTCTTTCATAATATGTGTATACATATATGACCGTAATATGGCCAAAGAATCTATTCGCAATCGATTGCCTGTTCTTCTAGGCGAATGTGCGAGTCGATCGCTGATGCAGAAATTTGGTCTAGCCTTGCCAGTGAGTCTCACAGTTCCATCAACAATAGTCTTCATCTTCGTCTTATCAGTAATCCGTGAAGGAAATGTTTGTGCGTTGCACGGGTTTCTCCCTGACTACATCTTTTTCAAATTGTATGAACACATCGATTCGGCATCGGATCTGTTGTCCCACTGGGAGCACTGGTTATGGATCCCCTGGTTGTTTTCCCAAGGCTGGGTGACAATGCACATCTGGACGCCTCATTGCGAGAGGCTCGCCAAAACACATCGGCTATTCGTAGTCTCTTCCTACGACTCCCTGATAATTGATCAGTCCCTCATGCTGAGTAGAAGGCGCGACGAGCCCGCGGAGATTGAAGATACCAAGATGAACGATCGTGTGACCAAGATTTACGTCTGTGCGACGATGTGGCACGAGCAGGCGGACGAGATGATGAAGTTCATCAACAGTGTCATTAAACTCGATCTGTACAGATCGGCCACCAAATTCACTCAGAACAGGTATAAAGTACAGATGGACGACTACTACGAGCTGGAGACCCACGTCTACTTCGATGATGCCTTCCAATGCATGCATGGATGTGAATCCGGCAAGCCTTGTCACCACAGTGAGAACGAGACTCACGTGAATTGGTACGTGAAGGAGTTTATCAAGGCGATGGAGAGCTCCATCACGAAGCTGGGGTATGTGGCGTCCCCTCCGATGAAGTATCCCGCGCCCTACGGTGGCCGGCTGGAGTGGATGCTGCCAGGTAAGACTCCGCTGACCGTTCATTTGAAGGACAAGAACAAAATTCGACACAGGAAACGATGGAGTCAGGTGATGTACATGTACTACCTCCTCGGCTATCGCCTGATGGACCATCCCAATTACTCCGTTGAGCGGAAGGAAGCAATGGCGGAGCACACCTTCCTCTTAACCCTGGACGGCGACATAGACTTCGACCCCTCCGCCCTGATCGTCCTCCTTCACCTGATGAAGCGTGACAAGGAACTCGGGGCAGCTTGCGGCAGGATCCACCCGATGGGCACGGGCCCCATGGTCTGGTACCAGATGTTCGAGTACGCGATAGGTCACTGGCTCCAGAAATCCACAGAACACGTCATTGGAAGCGTCCTTTGCAGCCCTGGGGCGTTCTCTCTCTTTCGCGCCCAAACCCTGATGCAGGACAACGTTATGAGGAAGTACGCAACGGTGTCTAGTGAGGCTAGACACTACGTCCAATATGATCAAGGGGAGGATCGCTGGCTGTGTACCCTGATCCTCCAGGCTGGAGGGAGAGTCGAGTACTGCGCGGCGTCGGACTCGTACACCCACGCCCCAGAGACCTTCAACGAGTTCTTCAATCAGAGAAGAAGATGGATTCCCTCAACAATGGCCAATATGTTTGATCTACTGAGCACATCGAAACAAACCAGAAAGCTCAACGAGAACTTCTCCTGGCCGTTTGTCGTGTACGAGTGGATCCTCATGGGATCGACAGTCCTAGGTCCAGGCACCATCTTCCTCATGCTCGTGGGGGCTTTTGTGGCTGCCTTCAGGATCGACAATTGGACAAGCTTCTCGTACAACTTGGTACCCATCGTTATCTTCGTCATCGTATGCTTCTTCTGCAAAGAGAAGACTCAACTCTTAGTCGCCGGCATCATCTCCGCTTTCTACGGCCTCGTGATGGTAGTTGTTCTCGTCGGGATCATGATACAGATCACGGAGGATGGGTGGGTCGCACCCTCAACAATTCTATTTTGTGTTGTTGCGATACAGTTAGTCGTGGCTGGCCTGCTGCATCCTCAGGAGCTGATCTGTCTAGTCTGTGGAATCATTTATTATATAACAGTGCCCTCTATGTATATGCTGTTGATAATCTACTCGCTATTCAATTTGAATAATGTGAGCTGGGGGACGAGAGAGTCGAAACCAGTGGCTGCTAAGAATTCTGATCAAGACGACGATGACACCGACCAGGAAAAGCCTCCAAACGATTCGGAGAAGGAAGTTAAAGACAAGGGAGCGATTGACTTCTCGTTTGCCGGATTATTCAGGTGTATTCTCTGCACACACAATGAGGAATCCCCCACGGACAAGAAGCTGGAGACCATCAGCCAGTCTTTGAATCACATTGAGAAGCGGCTGCAGATGCTGGAGGGGGGTGAGAACCCGAGTCCGTTGGGCAGAAGACATGAAGAGAAAAAGGTGACCTATCAGAAGGAGAAAAAGGCGGACTATGAGAAACCAAAGGACCCCGAGATTATTCTGCAAGGCCATTCAGACTCCGAGGAGGAGACGATCGGAGACAAATCAGGAACGTTCTTGGTTTCGCCCTATTGGATTCGCGATAAGGATCTGAGTAAAGGGAGAGTTGAGTTTTTAACTAGAGAAGAGGAGGTCTTCTGGGAGAGGCTCATCAGGAAGTATCTTTATCCCATTGAAGAGGATAGAACGCAGCTCGCGATGAATGCGGAAGCGCTCAAAGGTCTTCGCAACGAGTTTCTCTTCAAGTTCTTTATGATTAATGGGCTGTTTGTACTGGCTGTGTTTGTCATGCAGTTGAAGAAGGATATTCTGCATCTGGAGTGGCCGCTGGGGCAGAAGTTTAATGTTACCTTTGCTGCGACCGAACAGACTGTCCATCTTCACAAGAGTTATCTTAAACTGGAGCCTATTGGGTGTCTCTTTATCATTGGGTTCGTGGGGATTCTGATGCTTCAGTTCATGGCGATGTTGGTGCATCGGTTCAACACGTTCTGCCATGTGCTTGCTAATACCTCTTTGGAGCTATCACGGTGCTGCAGGGTAAGGAAGGTTCCATGAATATTTATCATCATGAATTTAATGATACATCCACTGAGCGTAACAAATGATTTCACTTGCTCTTAAAACTTCTTTAAAAAGCCAATCGTCTATCTTTTGGTCGGTGTTCACCTATTGGTCTGGTTATCCCATTTAGCTAATTGAGTCCGACTCAATTTTCTTGTTGCTTTCAATTCTTATTGTCGTTAAATGACAAAATAATTCATTTTCCTCGAAAAATTCTTTGGAGTAGTTATATGTACCAATTACCGTCCTGTCACCGTAAGTAATGATTCCAGACTCATTATTTATGATGATTCACTTCCTCATTCTTCACAGTCGAAAAATTCAGAAGAACTGCCTCTCAAGAGTCAAGCCAATGAAATTGTCAAGGGTCTTCAACGACTAGCTCAGAACAACGCACACCCTATTACTCCTCCGGGTTCTCAGCCAGCTGCACAGCCCAACAAACGAAAGACCATTCATGCGCTCATATTAAAGGAGAACAAGACGACACTGGCTGCTGATTTCGACACGGTATTCCAGCAGAATCTGCAGGAGCCGTCGGCAAATCACAGGCTGACGTCCATGGGCGTCTCGGAACACGTTCTCAAGGCCTTTGAACGCCGAAGGACAACATTCGTCGAACGGAAATCCCAGTTGAAACACGCCAATTCGAGCAACATCTATGAGGATCCAGAGGGCGCCAGGAAACAAACTTTCTACAACCCAATACCCTCGGGGAATCCCCATACTTACGACAATCCAGTGTTCATCCCTGACGACGGAACGTCGCCGATTCAGCTGCGGCGGAAGCCGTAAAACTCCGAAGACTAAACGACTCCATGAAATAGAGTCGAAAAAAAGTTGAAAAATATTTGCTATTGAGGCTGTTAGAATGTTTTGAAGATTTTGAGTTTTTTCTGTGATTTTGGCTTGTTCCAAATTGGCGCCAATATCTCAGCGGAATTTCAAGCAGTCAAGTCGCCCGTTGGAGCGCTCAAAGAACATGAAATAGCTCTTTAAAATGAGACGTCATACATAGCATTATCTTCAGTTCGACGCGGTTCATACGAGAAAACGTTTTTTTTTTCAATCGTTAATCACCCAAAAACCTAGATTTTCAAAAATCTGAAATTTTCATCAAAAATTGTCAATAAAATGATGAGAATTTTGGCGCCAATTAGAGTTTGTCTTTCGCCGTAGTTCGGCGGTTATTAACTTTTTCCGCGAGAAAAGTATTGAGAATGACTGAAAATCTCTATTATTCATGCAATCATCCCACAAATATGTGAATATTCAATCAAATATTAGCAGATGGTGGAACTTAGACTAATGAGTAATAGAAGATATAATATCTTTTATTGTTTATCTCTTTCCATTGCATAATTAGAGAAATAAGCACTTTTCACTCACAAAATCATACTGAAGACGAGTAGTAGAAGATATAATAAGTTCATTTTTCTAGAATATTGATGCATAATACTTCCCTTATTTTTCAATAATTACGGGTATTGATCTGGTCGCTTTAAAAATGAGAGAGAATTGATCAAGGATTCAATATTATTCATTATGCATGCATATTACCCGGCATTCCATCAAAAATTATTCCAGTAAACGTGAAAAATTGCTCAATATTACGTATAATTTTTCTGTAGCGGAGAATGATTTTCCATTCGTCCCCGTGACCTTCAGATGGGTGAAAAAAAAACTACTCTACCAGTGCAGGAAATTTTACTGTACAAGAGGATAATTTTTGCATCCATAGATGTTTTTTTTACCGAAGGAATCGTAAAATATCATCCACAAACTTTTCGTACTTTTCGTAGAGTAAAATTTGCTACGATTTTCTAGGTAATTTTTATCCAACTTTTCTCTGTCCCTAATTTCCAAATCCAAAAATTGGAAATCAATAAAACTACATTATTTTTGATAATAATCATTCATGTACTTTATTGTAATATCAATTATATACAAATTTAAAATTGCCTCACTGAATTTCCTAAACACACCTCCCCCGATCTTAAATGTATATTACACTGGATTTTATATTTTCTCCTAACCACATTTCAACCTCTCGTTCTCATCACTCGTTAGTCAAGTGCACTCTCAATTCATTACCGAATTGTTCAGTTCAATCGCTGAACCAATTTTTAGTTTCATTTATTTACCATCTCTCTCTATGTACAATAATTATCTAAAAATTGAATTAAAACAGTCAATTGGACGTGTGGCTTCTCGAAAAATTGGAGAAGAATTCTTCATCTTTTTCGATGAAGCCGTGTCATTCGTCTAAATCCAATGAATCCACCCCTCCCATCGAAATTGAACGACAAAAAATATTGAAGTGCAGTGTCGCCTCGATTTGTCCTCCTCTACCTACGTTTTTTTTTCTTCACTTCTTTTTTATTCATTGAAATTTCATTGGCAGTATCGAGTGCATTAATGCAAGTCTCGTGTGGGCGATGAACAGGGTATACGTAAGAATAGTATTTGCATTTGTTCAGGGCATTTAATTCCTCTCTTTGCATTGAGCATTGGCACGTAGTGCTGAAAATACAAACGAACTCTCTTTCCACAATCGAGGCGCTCCATTTTTTGCTCCATAAGCTTTTCTAATTCCATTTCATTGTTGAACTTACTCGGAATAAAAGCATAATTGATAATTAAGTTCGAATAATTTTGAGGGGAAAGACGCTGATCAATGATTTTAAAAAATTGTGTAAATTCACGGACAAACAAATTTGATAGAAAAACTTGACGAATTCATTAGAAAATTCTATTGAATTCAATAGAAAACTTCAATAGAATTCGATTTTTTTATATAACTCATTCTCTTCAGATATTTTCTGTAGAATTTCCGCGGCTTAAATTTTTTTATTCTATTTTTCTTTTCTTCTCATCACGGAAATGAAACAAAAAAACTTGGAAAATTTCAGCTGAGGAAATTTTATAGAAAATATCTGAATAGAATCAGTTATGTAGACAAATCGAATTCTATTGACTTTTTGCATTGAACATGTCAATAGAATCGGCCAGAAATTTTTTCATCCGTGTCATTTCAGGCAGGTTTGATTGAACGAAAATTGAATTTCCTTAGCCCTTCCCCCAATCCTCCCAAGATAATTTCGAAAAATCTGTCAACTGAGTGAAAATTCCATTCAATTCCCGATCTCCATTATTAAAATTTCAATTCAATTATCAACAAAGTAGATATATACAATTCCTTACATTGAAAAATTGAAATATAATTCCTCAAAAATAAACAACACGTCGAAATGAATGTTCACAAAATGTTTCTCAATTCGAGTTATATATGTATATTTCTCTCTCGAACTTTCTCTCATCATTCTCGGATCATTCTCTCAGTTTGAGGGCGGACCGCGGTGAAATTTGAAAGTCAGGTACTTATTTTTTGTAGTCAAAAAATGAGAAAGAATCAAGTTTCAATTTTTTCCAATGACGACGGGCAGCTGTACAAGCATAAAATCCTAAAAATATTTCCTTTACCACAGGTAAGAAAAAATTCAATAGATTTAGAATTTCTGTTTAAATGTTTCTCTTGAGATTTATTCTATAAAAATGCTTGGGCATCAATTTTCCAAGTTTTTTCCACTCGGATTCTACAATGCAAAATAAAACAAAATCCAGCAGAAAAACTTGGAAATTTTTGTGCCCAATAATTCTAATGAAAAAATTTAAGAGATAATTCAAACAGAAATTCGAAATCTATTGACTTTTTCTTATTGTATATCCAATAGAATCAGTGCAAAAAACAAATAGAATTTTTCAATAGAATTCCAATAGAAATCCTATAGAAACCCCCATAGAATTCCTATAGAAATCCAATAGAATTTTCTAGTGAATTCGCAAGGTTTTCTATTGAATTTTTCATGCGTGCACACTCTTTAAAATTTTCTTCTGAATTGTTCGGGTTAAATCGTGGCAATTTCTATCATGTGTAATTTCCACTGCATTTTCAGAGAATTTTGTCATTCAAAGATCAAACATTCCATTGATTTTTTATTGAAATGATCAGAAAATCAATAAAACACTTGATTTTTCAGTTCGATTATTCCGCAAAAATTTGGAAAAATCTAGAAAATTCAGGAAAAAATTGAAAATGCATATGATTTCGTTACTGAAAATTCAATGTTCAATGGAATTCATGTTTCATTGAAAATTCAATGAACAAAGTTAAAAATCAATTTTTCTCATTTCTAGAGTATAAAAAATGAATACTAAAATCATCAGCATGGTGAGAACAATCCCCTGCAACTTTCAAATTTACCGCGGTCTCCCCTTAAATTCCCGGAAGAAATAAATATTTTCACGTTTGCCGCAAAAACTCGATAAATAGCCTCCGCGCAACAGTGGCAATCCAATCGTAACAGAATCTCCTATTTTTCCACTTCTTCACGTAGTTCAACAACTGTCTAGATTTATCGTATAACTGTACAAAGCATCGTGTTTCACCGTTGTTACGCGGAAGAAAGTTCTTCGGGTTCTTGTTTTCCATAGAATTTACGATTTTTTTTATTCTTCGATTACTTATATCTATGTACACTGGTGAAAATTCATGGGACAATTGATCTCACATCTCTCACACACGCATAATTTCATAAATCCATTCAATAGAGATGTGATGAAACGAGGTACGTCAGCACGAATTGGCGATTCCAGTCTCTGTTTTGATGGATAGATTTAGATCTAAGCAAGACATTGGGTCTACGAATTATTTCCCAGCCCCTAGATTAGATCAATTACGACAACTTTTTGATTTAAAAAAAATCGTTGATGGGAGGAATCATTTTCGAGCGCCATCTATAAGCTATCGAACCTCTCAGTTCGATTCTGGTCTGAATCACCCCAAAAAAATAGTGAATAATAATTTCTTTTGACACGGAGGACTCCCGAATATATTCAGTATATGTAAAAAATTGTTTCAAAATTTTTAAAATAGAAATTTTTATTTTGAGAAAAAAACACGTCCTGGATAATTCGGAAAAAGGCTGAGGATTGATTTGTACCCTCAGTAGAATAATTTTCATGTGGCTGTTCTGTAAAGCTAAACTTAAGCTGCAGTAAAGTCTGAATGAAAAGTGTACAAATTATTTATCGGCCTCTAGATTAAATCAATTGATACACGCGGAGAGAAATGTTCACTAAAAATTACGGAACCCACAATTCGCTCACCGATTACGGAATCGACTCAGAAAATTCAAGTGACGGTATCGAAATTTTTCACAGGAGATTCAGATAAAAATTACGGAACGCTCTGGAAAAATTCCGTGGCAGTTCCGTAAAATTTTCTACAGCCACATTTCGCTATGAAATTACAGAAAAGATACGTAATTTTTATTGAATATTTCTCTCCATGTAGTTGTAATTATACGTGGATACGTCCATGGACTTGCCTTCTTTCTCGAGTTTCCTAGAAACTCCGTGCATTCCCTCGAATTCCCTAGAAACTCCTTGAGTTCTCTCGAATTTTCTAGAAACTCCTTGAATTGCCTCGAATTTTCTAGAAACTCCTTGAATTTTTTCGAAAATTCAAGAAACTTCTCGAATTATTTCGAAACGTCTAGAATTTTCTAGAATTCCCATAGATGGCGCTGCACATGAGGACCTATTCCCAAAATGACTCCCCATATTGAAACCACACTGATAGAAAGGATTAGTTATTGTTAACGACCGGATTTAGTTGGACGCGAGGTTCTATTCAGTCTCACCAACTGTCCATTCATTAATAGTTAACAAATGCACATTTGAGGAGCCTTGTTTCACTCGATTTTCACTTTTCAAGTGAACCATTCGTTAACTATTATCCATTTGGAATATGCATTTGGTCATATTCACCTCTATCATTCGTTAATACTTATCGAATCTCGTTTGGAATAAATGAATCAGTCTATCAGTGCACAGACGTATTCACGTCAAAAAGTTCTGCATGAGAATGTTCTCAGGCCCATTCTATTCCGAAATACTCCGGGGAATCCCAATTGACCCTTTCCAATGTGTAACCTATCCTCACCTAAATCTTTCCCCCACCCCTCGGCGTTGTGACCGCCCACTTCCGTCACAGCGTGAAGTTGCGCAACTTCAGCCCTGGAATCTGTTAATATCTGTTTATGAAAGGGCATTCGGATGCCTCCGGTGGTATTTTCTTGTCTTCAGAGACGGTTCCTCTTCCTCAACTGCTTCTTATCTCATTTCACCACGCCACTATTGCATTCACTCTCCATCACGTGTAACCTAATTATCATTGAACGTTCAGAGTCACCATACCGAGTTTTTTTTACACAATTGTTACACATTCTGATAATCACTATACATTGTTTATTACGAGGTTAGACGCTCCACTAAAATCGTGGCAGAATGAAATTCGTGGGTAAATTGGAGGGGAGGGATAATGAGATGATGAATTTTTATGACCCGAGATGTGGGATTAAATAAGCCGGATTATCGCGTGAATTTCCACGTGCGAGTTGGATGGAAGTGTTTCATCAGAAAGTCAGGAGAAAAATTTACGATGAAAAATACTAATTACGGAGTTGTACAGTCTAGTGCTTCACTAGAGCTAGAACACCCCTTTTGTTGTGAAAAAAGACACATTTAATCCACTTCTCGTGGGATTTCATTCGTAAAATTTCTCTGGTTGTTTTCAATTGAAAAAATTCCATCGATTTCCGATCATTCAGATGAATAATTCATCTACGTTGTTCATTGACTGAATGTATTTGAATAGTGGAGTGATGACAATTCCTTTTCCCATCTCGTTAAATGTTGAATTATCCCTATGAATATGAACTTAACGGGCAAATGTCTCGTCATTTCTTCCTAGAATGACTTATTTCTCTCTCCCCAACAGATTAACCTCACTGAACTCCTCACTCATAAATAGAGTCACGTGATTTGCGATCGCAATGTAGATGGGGGAACCACCAAGTGGTCTCTGAAGGAATTGGTCGAGGGGAGGGGCAGCCAATGAGATCACTGGGTTCTCATTCAGCGCATTGGTCGGCGCCCGCCATTGGTCGGCTCCCTACTATCTCATTAGTTGCGCCCACGAGTAGTTAATATGGAGATTAGGGTTGCGAAAATGTCCGTCTTTTTTTGTTCGTCATATGACAAATTTATGAGGAGCATTTGACACTGATGTGATGTCATATTTTTTTTCTCATAATTTGAGTAGTTGGACGTTGTCACTGACATTTAGATGAAATATGAAGGTCATGTGGAATCTGTGTTACAAAATGTCATAAAATTGAGAAGCCATTACGAATTTTCGGAGAATGTGACATTTTCATTGCGATTTAGTGGAATATGACGCTCATCTATTATCATTTATATTTAGTCATATGACAAAAATTGTCATAAGTGGCATCTGTCATGTGACGGTCGTAAGACGTCACAAAATTTTTGCACATCCCTAATAGAGATTAGGATTGTGAAAATGACCGTCACTTTTTCCATAAAATGATAAATTTAGGACCGTCATGTGACACTCTTGTGACGTCACATTTTTTTGGTCATAATTTGAATAGTTTGGTGTTGTCAGCGCTATTTAGATGAAATATGACGGTCATGTGTTACAGTTGTCATAATTTGGTCATGTGACAAAAAATGTCATAACTGGTATCTGTCATGTCATAAATTTAGGACCGTCATATGACACTCTTGTGACGTCACATTTTTTGGTCATAGTTTGAGTAGTTTGATGTTGTCACTGCTATTCAGATGAAATATGACGGTCACATAGAACCTGTGTCACAAAAAATGTAGTACAATTGCGAAGTCATTATGAAATTGTGAAAAAATTGTTATTTTTATGGCTATTTAGATGGAATATGACAGTCACATAAAGTTTGTGCCACAAAAAAGGTTATAAAATTGAGCAGCTAATCATTAAATTTTGAGTAGTTTGACCTTGTTACTGCTATTTAGCTGAAATATGACGGTTACAGAAAATTTGGGTCACAAAATATGTCATAAAATGGAGAAGTGTTCACGATCTTTTGGCTTTTATGATTTACTTGGGGCATGATGGTCATATGTTAATGCCATCACAACTTGGCCATATGACAAAAATTGCCATCACTTGCACCTGTCACGTGACGCTCACATGACGCGTCACTGACGTGTCACAGAATTTCCCCACATCCCTAACAGAGACCACTCGAATCCTCCCACATCTACCCTGCGATCGCGAATGGATTTTGAAGGCCGTGTGGGATAAAATGATTTGCCTTATGGCAGTAGAAAAACATGTCCACTAGCTGTTAAATCACTGGTCTCTTCCATAATCATAGACGACACTTGAATCCGAGCACAGCCCTAAGAGCCGTTTTCCTAGAGTCAGACCCTCAGCTCCTCCATGATCTGTTGGTGATTGTGTCCCTTCTTGAGGGTTCCCACAGTCGTCATCTGCATGCTCTCCTGCTGCAGCTGATTGGGACTCATTATCAAATTTTGTCCTTGAGCCGGTTTCGATGGTTTTGTATTTTTCGGTGGTGGCGGTGGCATCGGTACAAGACACGTGTTGTTCTGGAGATCAGAGAAGTCCGGTGGTGGCATGTGCTGTATGTGGTGGCGTTCAGCTGTTTTGGTCTCGAGTTCGCCGCATATGTTGTTCGGCATTTGGCCGTTCTCCTGGCGCTTCTTCGGGCAGTGGTGCTGATTCTTGTCTCGCTGGTAGTAGACACCGGCGAAGATCAAGACGTTTAGAATGAGAAGACTACAGCCGATGGCTATTGTTACGCTTAGGGCTGTTGAGTAGGCTGCGAAACCGTCCTCCGGCTGACTCGTTGTCTCTTCGAAGGCAAGCTCGCTTGGGGATGCTGTTGTTGTGTTGAGAATACGCTCGGTTGTCAGCTCGAGGGTCGTTGGCTTGGCTGTTGTCGGGAGGCGTTGGATGAATCGCGGGGGCACCTGAAAATATTGTTGTTTCAGGTTTGCTTACTTCGGGGGGAATTTCACGTATGAATTATTTCAGAGGAAAATATAGGGAACGAGATAGAACATTCTGGTGGATTTCTATTAAACTTTCTACTAGTCTTTGGCTGACTTGTGGAAAACTCCGTAGCTTTGAAAATCTGTGCGTTTTTTTGTCAATAGCCATTTTCCATGGGAAATATTCTATTGAGGAAATCTATTTTTCTATACAACTTATTCTACCTACTTATTTATGTAAAACTTTACTGAAATGTGTGATTTTGAAAACAACTGATGTAATTATTGACTGAATAAAATTTTCAAGTGAGTATCGTAATGGCATCTGACTAGCATCTATTGTGATTTATTCATGAGTTTTAATAATATTGTAAGGGCAAATGTAGTACTTCATGTCCTTAGGGGGTTACCGTACTCCAGGACTATACCGAGATAGTTTCTATAGAAATTCCTATGCTCTAATGTTCCTAGTTTTTTTGTTTGATTTTTCTAATGAAAAAAGAAGTAAAATATAGTTGAAAAATTGAGAACAATTCATGGGGAGAAATTTCCTATAAAAAATCACGTATGAAAAAATTCAATAGAAAAGCTTAGCGAATTCGCTAGAAGATTCTATTGAAATTCCCTAGAAATTCTATGAGGATTCTATTAAAATTCTAGAGAATTTCTCGTTAAAATTCTATTTGTTTTTTGCGCAGTTTCTATTAGATATTTGATAGGAAAAAATGAGATTTTGCTCACCTGTTCGGCGTCCAAGAGATGGTGAGAACGGGGGACGTCGTCGGAGCCTGGCTTGTGAAGGTCTGGCACTAGGTTCAGCCAGAAGGAGAGGCGGTGGGCTCGGTAGTGGTTCTTCAACTTGGATTTTGTGTCTGAAAAACATGAAGTAAATCATTACAGAGTTCTCTAAAATTTCCACTAAATTTTTCTTTTACCGCAAAATTCGGTTATTTAATCAAGAAAATTTGCGTTGAATGCAATTGAATTCTGAAATAGACTAATTGAATTGTCAAATATTCAATTGATAAATGAATTAATGCATTAATGAAATCCCTTAATGAATGGATTAATTGAAGAAATTTTGGAAAATTTTGAAGTGAAATGGAATTAATATTAAATTATTGATAATAGCATCATAAAGAATGAGCAGATAAAATTTAATGCTCATTTAATTACTTTGAATTTCTTCTTCAACATTTTTCTTTTACCGCAATATTTGGGTATTTAATCAAGAAAATTATTATTTACTAATTATGCACGGACGAAAAAATTTAATAGAAAAACCTATCGAATTCGTTAGAAAATTCTATCGAATTTCTATTAAACTGTTCTATTGGTTTTTGGCCGATTCTATTGAAATGTTCAATAGAAAATGTTCAGTAGAAAAAGTCAATAGAATTTAATTTTTCTATATAACTTATTCTATTGAGATATTTTCTATAGAATTCCCTCGGCTCAAATTTTCTACATTTTTTCGTTTGATTTTTTTGATGAGAAGAAAAGTTAAATAGAATGAAAAAAACTTAGAAAATTCGAGTCGAGCAGATTCTATAGAAAATATATGAAAGGAAAAAGTTATATAGAAAAATTGAATTCTGTCGACTTTTTCTACTGAATGTTTTCGATTGAACATGTCAATTGAATGAGCCAAAAACTAATAGCAAGATTAATAGAAATTCAATAGAATTTTCTAACGAATTCGATAGATTTTTATCTAAAATTTTGTTGTGCGCGTAACCAGGTTATTTAATGAAGAATATTTCGATGCAATTAATCTCTGAAATAGATTAATTGAATCGGAAAATATTTAATCGATTAAAAAAATATTGTAAAAAATCGGGGAGTGAAATGGAATCAATAGTGAATTAATGATAATAGCATTATAGAGGATGAGTGAATGAAGTTTAATACGCAAAGACGATAATGGACTTGGAGGAAGAGTGAAAGAGGGTGGCACGAATCCTGGTGTTTCGCATTAAATTTCAATGGTGCAATTGGGGCGTGAGAAGACGGGCACGTTTGCTGAAATGCCAAAAGGAATGAGGGATAGGTAGTGTTGAAGTTAGCTTCGTGATGGAAATAGAGAGGAGGAGGTATGGGTGTATTGGTAAGGCAACTCAGTCCCGACTATCCAGGAAAATGAGAGAGAAAAGGTACAGCCAGCAGTCGCTCGATCGCTTGTCGATGGAGTACAGTAAATTGAATGAACAGTAAAGTAAAGAAATTGAATTGTTAGGGTATAGAGAGCAGAAAATGGACCAAGGTGGAATGAAAAAGTGATCGTAAGGAGTCAAATTATTGAGAGTTCAATGATATTATTGAATGGGACTTGTGAGTTTTCTAGGTTTTTCACTCTAGTTCAATAGACTCCCTCTCAATGTCAATAGAAATCTTGAAGAAACCTCGGGGCTACATTTAATTAGGAACTACTGGTGGGATCTTCTTGATTAAATTTAGGAAAAATGTACTTTTTTGTTTCAGAAGTCGAGGTAATTTTTTAATTAATGGGAGGTTCACCACAAAAAAAACACTTTTTCGTTTTTCAAGAAAAAAAAAAAATTAAAAATACTATTTCCGAGTTGTCTAGGTTTTTCACTCTAGTTCAATAGAAATCTTAAATTAAGAAATCTCGGGATTACATTCAATTAGGAACTACTGGTGAGATCTTTTTAATTGAACCTTGGAAAAATTTATTTTTTTGTTTCAGAAATCCAGATTTTTTTAAATTAATAAACTCTGAAATAATGATTATGAAAAATAATAATTCGACCTTTTTATTTATTTTTTTAATTCACCGAGACTGAGATAATACTTAATTAAATTTTGGAAAAATGTAGTTTTTTGTTTCAAAAGTCCAAATAATTGTTTAATTAATAAACTCTGAAACAATGATGATGAAAAATAATAATTCGACCTTTTTATTTATTTTTTCAACTCACCGAGACTGAGATAATTCTTGTGGACAGCCTCATAAGCTGTCCAGAGAGTATTCTTAAGTTTCGTACGTTCTGGACGTGATCCTGAGGGTCCAGGATCCGGTGTACCCTCGTTGGGATTTCTGGAAAATGAGATGAGAATGAATAAAGTAACTCGAAGGAAATAAAAATGTGAATAATATCTTACTTTCTAATTAACTTGGTGGAATAGCTTACCCAGTGCGAGCAAAGTTTGTGAAGTACAGGATAACACTTTCTGAGAGTGTTATTTCTGCTCTTGTGTAGTTCTTTGGCCAGTGGGAGTGGCCGCCTATCAGTGGTGCACCGAATAAATAGGGAAGTTCTTCACCGTGTATGCATCCTTGTCTCTGCAAGAGAGCAATTAAAATATTTATTTTTGAAATAGTTGATGGTGTTTTGGAAATCGTAATATTTTTAGTTGTGACTCGTGAAATTAAAAAGAACGCGAACGTATTCACTAGGAAATTCTTTTGAATTTATGTTATTTTTCCACTAGTTATTGGCCAATTCTATTGGAAAATTCGAGGGGCTCTTCACAGGCGTAATCAAGGTGTCACTCGCTGATGTAATCAATTGTAATCCCAGTGAAATCAATGTAATAATTGTAATCACATGATTACCATATTTATAATCAAGTTTTGGTAATCAAGTGGTAATCATTTGTAATCACTGTAATCATTTGTAATCAGTGTAATCTTTCGTAGTTGCTCCTAGTGAGACCATGAATTTTGTTTTTGAATTTTCGAGCGCGTCATTTCTACCAACGGTAAGTCTCAGAGTCCCTGGATCAATTTTTCTGGGAATCCCAGATGTTTATGGTTCAGAACCTTGCATAGCCAATGCGTTTTGCACAGAGCATTTGTCCGTAGAAAATTGATTCAACAGAGTTAAAATTTCTTCTTATTCTGGAGAACCAATGACTGAATTATCTCTGAATTATTTGCAGGTAAGTTTCATTCTTCATCAATGGTAGATATTTAGTAAATTTATTTTGCTGATAGCACTTGTAAAAGCCCAAATTTTTAGATGGAGCCATGGAGACTGCATTCCTCTGTTCTAATCCCCGCTCCTCCTTCCTCATTTCTTTGCAGGTTCTCATAATTAATTATTCCATCAATTCATATTTAATAAGAGGCCATTTTTTATGATTTCAATGATTACAGATGTTTGGTAATCACAGAATGTAGTCGACGAAATCATTTGTAATCGTGTAATCATATTCTGTGCTCTTGGTAATCACGGTTATCACACAGGCAATGGTAATCAGTGTAATCAGTCCCGTAACCCTGGGTAATCGATTACATTTTGTAATCGCGGTGTCATCCAATTCGTCTGTGAATAGCCCCTCGTGTTTTCTACTGAATTTTTTCATACGTAAATTCTCATATTTCCGTAGTCTTCCAATTGCCCCAACCACGAACGGCCGTATCTGACGAAATTATTACTCAGCGGGTGTTGCATGTGGCACACCTCCCACGAGGGAGTAAGTAAATACATCGAAATACCTTGGGGGACGTCGGAGGGAGAGGTTGCACCTGGGTTGAGACAGTAGAGGGCGCAGCCCCTGGGGCGTTGGGTTCCTACCGTGGTTGGTACATGAATTAGATATGTATGAGCTCAGGAGTTTCATAAAGCTAAATATCAAATGCGGAATATTAAATTAAAAAAAAACAGGGAAAGATACTTGTTTTCTCGTTCAACGGAAAAATTCATTAAGGGAGAGTTTGTGGGAATGCTTCCAGCTGAGGATATTCAGCAATTTAATTCGTTGAGGGGAATTTAGGAGTTAGAGGAGTTTAGGTTCTCGATTTAGATATGTTCAGATATCCCCAGAATTTTGATTATTTGACGTTTATGTCTGTGTTTATGACCCTTATTTTACCCTTATGACCCTTGCAACAAACATTTTTTCTATTCACGCACGAAAAAATTCAATAGAAAAAGTTAACAGAATTCGATTTTTCTATATAACGTATTCTTTTCATAATTTTTTATAGAATTTGCTCGACTCCAAATTTTTTTCCCAAGTTTTTTCATTTTATTTTTCTTTTCTTCTCATCAAGAAAGTCAAACGAAAAAACTTCAGCCGAGGAAATTCTATAGAAAATATCTCAATAGAATAAGTTATATAGAAAAATTGAATTTCATTGACTTCTTCTACTGAATATTTTCTATTGAACATTTCAATAGAATCGGCCAAAAACTAATAGAACAGTTCAATAGAATTTTCTAACGAATTCGATAGGTTTTTCTATTAAATTTTTTCATCCGTGTTTTCTTTATCGCTATTTTATTCATTATCTATCATTATTTTTTTCTTGAGAATGAGATCCGAAAAAAATGTGCAAGAATTTTCAATGATGCAGCATACTCAGACATTTCTCCCACGAATTATCCTACTTTTCTTCGTTATTTTGACTTTTTACCCGAAACATCTTAAATTTTTTCGTGCGTGGCGTCCCATAAAACTGGTCCTCAATAGAACTTCAATAGAAATCCAATACAATTTTCTATCGAGCGCCTGTTTTTTTCTTTCAAAAATTTTTCGCGCACGCTTTCCCCTATCCGAAGAATCCAAAGAATAAATTATCTCAAAATGCAACCGCCCGTCAACCCCACTCCACAATCGACTCCCTAGAAATTCCCGTGTACATCTCCCCGTCACAGATGAATTTCCGGGAGTTTCCTCGACCCATCGCGAAACTCTGGCTCTCCTTTGATCCAACGCGTTGAGTTTTCCGTTCAGTGTATCCTCGAATGGCAACGAGGTAGAAGCCTCCTCCAAAGTACTTCCTCCCCTGCCATAAAATGACAGGAGTATAAACCGACAAGAGGAAAATAAAAACCACCGACAAGTGGAAATAAACAGAGAGGGAAAATCCGTAAGTTTTCCAATTTACCGAAGTGAATGTTTGTTCTCTTTTCACCGAGAAAATTGAATAAAAAAATTGGGGGATTAATATGATACGAATGAATAGTCCATCGAGTCGAATTGAGAAGCACTCAATACACCTGAAATCGATAGCACGACCGATTGATTCATTTCCATCTCTTCTTTTTGGGTCAATTTATATTTTTTTTATCGAATGATCATTCCGGAGATATTGAATCTGTCTGCTGCGGGGATTGGGGAATGTGTGAGCAGATTGTTGTCGGTACGACAGGCTATTACTCTACTAGGGATATTATAGGGGTGGGGATAAAGTTTTACGATGAATCGGATGAAAATTTGAATGCATTGTTTAGACCTCGAAAAGCTCAATCAGTTGGAGAGTTATCGTTTTTTTTAAATTTCGATGACGACAGAATAAATTGAGAAAATGGTAGATTTAATATGAAATAAATCTCTGGTTTGAATATTTTAATTGAATAATTCTGGTCGAAATTCAATGATCATAATGATATTTTCATTTTTTACACAGAATTTTATGTCTTCGGGGTGATTCGATAGAGACCAAAATATATATCTCTCATCTCACGTTAACTTCAATCATTCATCCATACAGAATTATGATTAGGTAGTTTCGAATTTATCAAAAATAATTATGAATAATTATGTCTTAACTGATCATTTTTCAATGATTTCTATTATGAAAAAACAAGTGGGAAATTACTTTCGCCACAATATAGTCAATATATTTTTACTAAAACAATATACAATAAACAATGTAGTCAATATATTTTTGCCTCGTTTAATACATTTTTAGTAATAAATTATTAATTTGCTCTTGAATGAAATTTCTATGAAAATGTATTTTAAATTGAATTCAATGATTTCTTGAATTCAACATTGTCTCCATGTTGGCAGCCAACATTGGCTCAAAGTTGACAACCAACATTACCCCAACATTACCTGCCAACATTGCCCCAACGTTGGCAGCCAACATTGCCGGAAAAAAAATGTTGTCAAGATAATTTTTTTCTGCAACAGTTGATGCAATCAACCTCATGATCGAACTCGATCTAGATGGCATTGGGAAGAATATTTTAAATCACAATGGGTTTTATTTAAACAATGATTTTTTTGCTTAATTATCCTAACCCAAAAAATTAGAAATTTCGGATTTGACGAATACAATGCTCTGCGCCAAATTTAGACATAATTAGGCGTGAGTAAACGACACCACTAATTGATAAAGACTCGTGATAAATTGAAGACGAAAATGAACAGAGGTAAATATCGACGAACGCAGCAAGAATGAGGATATTAAACAGCCTGACAGTAACATGTTTCACCGATAAGAGTTCTGGACGTTTAATTAATTTGTACGTCGAGATGGTCGAACCCCGGTGGAAACACCGAGGTTGCACCTAGCCCAAGTGATGTGATACATCAGGACGTTGGCGCTTGGGTAACAGTGGAATCGAGTGGGGGGATAAGTTTCGGTGATCAGATAAGAGTATGAGTAACGGTTTTAGTGCATTAGATCCTCGTGAAATCGGTGGGGGACTCCTGGCATCCGGCATATTGCAATCTTATAACTCAACTGTAATGGGGTCATATCGCACAGGAAGCATAGGAAATTAGCCGGGAAATGAGGGGTACGTGGATTTTGAGGTGGAGCAGAGTGAAAATCAATGGAGAAGGGATGCGCACTCAGAAAAATGGCTCATCTGGATTAAAAAAATTAGTTGACATTTTTTACTTGTTTCAAAAGAAAGGATTTAATTATATCGAATGAACAATTCATTAATTTCGAAGGAAATTTTTATTAAATTCAAGAAAACAATGCATTTATTCGAAATAAACCAGTTTATTAAATTAAAATGAGCAATTGAATAATTCCAAATAAACACGCAAAGAATATAAAATTATTTTTCTGTACTGACCTTCACTTTTCCTCGTCCGGGGATTGGTATTGGCCCTTCCCCAAACTCGTAAAAGTGAAAATCACTGCGGAAAAATATCGTTCACGACTAAGGCCATGGGATTTTTCGGAATCGTAACAAATTTATTCATATTCACAATTTCACCAGATATCGGCTTAATGCATAAAAAATCAGCTTTCTGACAGTTTAAACAATTTCAATTATTGATTGATAACCAACGAATGTTTAAAAAAATAATAATTCTGTGCAAAATGTAATTTGAATGACGCTGAATATTCATGATTTTTTTTCAAATTTTTATCACGCAATTTAATTAACAAACTTGATGATTGAAAATGGTTGCATTTACAGTGTGAATCTCATTAATGAAGAACATCTCATATTTGCGTCAAAAAAATGCTTCATTAATAAAGAAATATAAATTTACTGACAAAGATTTATGAATAAAAATTTATTAATAATAAAATATCTCCCCCTAGAGAAACACAGGCGAAACACTTTAAAAACTTCAATCCAAATAAACGAGATTTATTTACCTGCGGATAGTCACCGAATTTCGTCTGATAATCGAACACGTAGAGATAGGAATTCCGATGTGATTGGCTGTGCAGATCAGCAGTCCTCGTAGCTGGTGCAACGGTATTGGCATCCCCAAGTGCCTCCAGGGTCTCGTCCCTATTTTATTTTCACAAATGAACGATTCAATCTCCTATTTTTCCACCATCACTACATAATGCTCGTGGAACAATTGAAAAAGAAGAACAAATCTCAAAAGTTGATCGATAAACTCTAATAAAATGTTCCCAACTTTTTAGACTTTTAATTGTTGGTTATGAAGAAGTTGGGGAGGAAGTGAAAATATGAGGATAAAGAGCTCAGAAGGGGAGACGGGGGAGGGAGAAAAGTTCAGGAAATGGATCCTTTTGGTAAACGAGTGCCGCTGGGATTAAGTACCAAAAGTTTATGCCGAGCAATTAAAATTGAACATATTTCCAAAGTTGATTAATGAAAGGGTTGTACCTGATGTTCACTGGGTGTTGTACCGGTCTCTCCCAGTCTGTGTATTCGTTTATTATCGTCGCGAGAATTTCCGCTTGGTGATAGGTGTAGGTATTGCGGACAAATTCACGGAGAATTTTGGTTCTTCTGTCTGCTTCCATTCCGTATTGGGCGTCGTCCGAGGTCAGGGAGAAGTAGGCTTCCGATCGCACTACACCGACCATCAAGTCATACCTGAAAGCAGAGGATTGAGGGATATTTCCTGATATTTTTGTCTTTTATTCCATTATTCATGGCAAATTCAGTAGCGAAGTAGTAAACCAGGTTAAGTCGATTTTGACTTTTGGCTATTTTTTATGAATATCTTGGAATCTAAGAGAGATAGCAAAATTTTGCTCACCACCTTTTTTGTGGAGCCAACTGAGGGTTATAAAAAAGGTCAGGCGTAAAATTTTTGTATCCCTTTTAGATTCCGAGATATTCGTCAAAAACTGGCAAGAAAGTTTTTCTATCATTTTACTGAACTTTCAAGATAACTATAATTATTTTTTACAGATAGCATCATTGAAAAAATTGTAGAAAATATTTCAATTGATTTTCGGAATATTTAGTTACTGGAGGATCTCATTTTGAATATTGCCACTTCCGATCTCGTCAGGTTCTCGAATAATCCAGGAATATCCTTTTCATCAAGAGAATTTTTTTCCCACTGAGAAAATACACTGGAGAAACTAGTCTCGTGTTGTTTCATTTCGTGGGGATATGAGATGCTTTCACGAGCCAAACAACGCCTGTATTTCCAGGATGCACAATCGAAATTCATTACGCCGTTGTGTATGTGGGGAAAAAAAAATTACAAACTGATTCCCAGGCTGAGGGGAAATGAGAGAAAAAACCTGGACTTTCATTTGGTTTCATTAAAACAACAGGCGTCTCGTTGCTTGCCGAGTAAATACGTGGACTACGTGAAATGCGACTGATACTTCATTTCGGATAAAACAGGAGTGTCTGCAATTTCAGTGAATTATACAAGTTCAGTGCATGTACTTCAGCCGATTTTTTCGAAAGCTAAATTCGAAATATTGATTTTTTTTTCGGGGATCAATGCCTGTTTGAGGATCTAATACCATAGATTTTTTAAATGAAATGCAGTTACACTTGAAATTTTTCAATGAATTTTATGAGGAAATAGTGAACAAGTTTACTTTATGGGAAATTGGAAAAATTGTATTGTATTTCAATTGAAATTCTAATTTTCTTTGAAAAAGTCAGTGAGAAAATGAGGGGATTTGTTGGAAATTTTTCTATTCATGTAATTAATATTTTTTATGGAAACTAGGGGGCTACGCCCCCTGCTCGTTCTGTTCGCCAATCCCCATATGACCCTCACGATCCTTATTCTGACCCTTAATTTTGGAGTCTTAATTTCGAGTTCCAAATTTTCATCACCAAAAATCGATTTGGATTTTTATCATTTCGAGAGATTGAGACCCTTATTTTGACCCTTAATTTGGCCCATATGACCCTTACTCTGACCTTCACGGCCTTTATTCAGAACCTCGTGACCCTTATTCTGACCTTCGTGACTCTTATTCTGGCCCTCATGACCCTTTATCTGACCCTCATGAGTCTTAATCTGACCGATATGACCCTTACTTTAACCTTCATTGCCCTTATTCTGATTTTTATCAGCCTTATTCTGACTATGGCCCTTCTTTTGACCCTTGTGACCCTTAATCCAACCCATAAGACCCTTATTCTGACCTTCATGAGCCTTATTTTGACCCTCTTAACCCCTATTCCGACCCTTATGACCATTATGTTGACCTCCGTGACCCTTATTTTAACCCTTATGACCCTTAATTTTGGGGTATTTATTTCAGGTACCAAATTTTCACCACCAGAAGTCGATTGGTATTTTTATAAGATAGAGAGATGAATCAATTCATAAATTTATGTGAATGAATATTCAAAAAATTAAAATTAAATTTACGTGAATGAATATTCCTCGCCCTCGGCTCGGGCTGCGATCATATGAGCTAGAACAGTTTTTTTAGGCAATGACAAAAATCTGCTTTATAGTGACTATCGCCGCAATGTGTAATCTCGCGCAACGAACCCGCAACGAGTCGATCGCGAGATTGGACTTCTACCAGGGATTGTTCACAAAATTTTTCATCACGCTGTAACGAAAAGTGAACTTTTCGGCACGCTCCGCGTGCCTAAAAGTCCAATTTCCGCCACATTGTGATGAAAAATATTGTTCGTAACTCGTGAAAAAATGTTTTTTAGCTCGTGGGATTATATCACTCGCCTTCGACTCGTGATATAAACCTCCCACTCGCCAAAAAACACTTTTTTGCACTCGTTACGAAATATACTATTATGAATTTCCATGATCTGTCATTCAAAATTAATCACTCCCCTCTCAGCCCCTAATTGCATCCCTCAATTCTCAAAACTAATCATAATGAATTCAATTACACTATCAGAATCTTCAAAAACTTGTACGCTAAAATTAATACAGAAGTGGTGGAGTGCACATACTTCGGAAAATTACTCTCAGCTACTAAACTCGTGAATGGTGTGCATTCGCCGACCGGTGTAGAGGGGCAGGGGCCGGGGAGGGAGTGGGGGCGGAGAGAGGCGGAAGGGGCAAACGTCCTCGGGGTGTACTATGCGTAATTACGAATATTATTTACTGCATTTTTTCCGTAATTAAACATTCAAAATATAAACTGCGTCAATTTATTGGTTCACTGATAACTGTTGCATTTTCAAACTCATGTCGATGCTTTTTTTTACGATATAAAATATCCGAGTTTTTCCATTTGTAGGTACAATCAGAATTTATTAATCCCCGGATGGAAATATTAAATATTGACGATTGAAAATTTTATTGAGTTCATGACGAGTTGAAAATTCAACAGTGAATTGTCAGTGAAAAAAAATTGTCTTTATTATCGTGTTCATCCGATCTTTCTGGAAATTAAAAATTCAAATATGACCGGAATATCATGAATAGGGATATTGCTCACAATTTTTTTTTGTGAAGAAATTATTTAAATGAGACCTTTTTTTAACTAGAGAAAAATTTAGAAAAATATCAAGCTTTCGAACAAATCGACTCAGAAAAGTTATGTGACGGTATCCCAGGTAGGAATTGACGAAAGTCGACTTTCCCCTAAAAAATCCAAGATGACACTTTGGCCCCAGGTGAAAAAACAAATTTTTATTTCGACATTTCTGGCGCCTCCGAGTGTTTCATTAGCATCAGAAACGTTAATCGATATAAAAATTAAGGAATGTAATTGAAACTAACTTTCATTTTGGGAAATTCACTGAAAACGATTCTCGCTTGCGGATTGCGTAAAATGTTCCGTAATTTTTCTTGAATATTTCTCTCCGTGTGGAAAAAATCCGTGATTCCATAAAATTTCCTACAACCATATTTAGTTAATCTTAACGAATGGATTTGGTTGGAGACGAGGGTCTATTCGGTCTCACCAAATGTTCATTCGAAAAATCCAAATACCTCCCCCCCCTTTGCCGCGGGTGAAAATTCAAAGTGATCCCGTAACGGATCACTCGGCTGACAGTAGGCACTCGTCATTCTACAATTATGACATCATTCTTCTTATAGTTGAGACATTCTTGTTAATTTATTACGTTTAATTTTGTATCATTTCACTTGAAGTTTCCTCTGACTCATGACTCGACACCGGTAGACTTGTTCAATTATAGAGAACTGTAATATCACACGCATGTTCCTAATCATGTCTGTAATATTCTATACTCTGTATTTATTAATAGATTGAAACCCTGTAAAATACTTAAGCTGTCCTCAGGGGGTGACTGTTACCCCAGGACATGGTCTTAAAGCTCAATAAATAAATAAACAATAAATTGTAAATAATTATATAATTATTTCCCGCGTAATTTGCACACTCGTTGAGCCACTTTCCCCTAAAAAACCGGCTTTATCTCGTTCAAGCAGCATGAGAATGCTCAACATTAAATTCAAGAGTGTTTCTCTCTATTTATTTATCATTCACTCTCGCATCACGGCATTTGCAAAGCAAGGGTTCCCTCTACATTTTCCATCTCAACCCCCCCCCCCCCCC